CTCTAATATTCTTTGTGTATAAGCCTAACAATCTAAAATAATGACATCAAACAGGGGTCCAGTTGTCCAGTAAGTGATGTATAATGTATGATATAAACTATAGGATATCCAATAGGCAAAGGGAAGATTTAACTCTGTGCTCTAATATTCTTTGTTTATAAGCCCAACAATCTAAAATAATAACATCAAACAGGTGTCCAGGGCACGCCCCTCCCAAATCCTAAACCCTTAACCCTAAACGCTACATATATATATATATATATCTGTACCCTATAAATATATATATATATATCCATTCTGGCAACTTCATTTTGTATAGCAATTGAACTCAAGCTAGAACCCTAAACCCTAAACCCCTAAACCCACTAAACCCTAAACCCCTATAATCCACTAAGCCCTAAAGTCTTAAACCCACTAAACCCTAAACCCTAAACCCACTAAATCCACTAAGCCCTAAACCCACTAAACCCAAAAACCCTTAAGCTCCTTAAGAGTAACCCAGGCATCGTCTCTGCCGGTGAGGTCCTGGCCAGGCTGGAGTTAAAAGACCCTTCAAAGGTCAAGAAGATCCCTGGCTCCCTTTTGTGGTTTGGGGTTATAGGGTTTAGGGGTTAGGGGTTATAGGGATTAGGGTTTAGGGTTTAGGGTTTAGGGATTAGGGTTTAGGGTTTAGGGTTATAGGGTTAGAGGGCTTAGGGTTTAGGGTTTAGGGTGGGGATATACCTAAAGTGGGTTTAGGGTTTAGGGTTTAGGCTTCGAAGGTCAAGAAGATCCCTGGTTCTGTTTGGCTTGTATGGGGGTTATAGGGATTATATAGGGGCTATATAGGGATTATACAGGGTTTATAGGTCAAGAAGATTCTGGTCTCCTTTGGATTCAGGATTTAGGGTTTAGGATTTAGGGGTTTTTAGGGTTTAGGATTTATAGGGCATGTGAAGAAGATCCTGGTTCCCTTTGAGACGATTTTATGGTGAGTCTAGGGTCTAGGGCACGTCAAGAAGATCCTGGTTCCTTCTGTCAAACATCCCCCCATCCCTAATATGGAATATTCCCCGAGATATGAATCTTTAATGCTAAATGTTGCGGAGGGGATGGGGTCCCTAAATGTCAATATTCTAGCACAGCCCATGTGAGTAAGGATCTCACCCTTTGACGGGGACTTTGAGATCTCAGCCAAGCCGGAGCCTGACGTGCCCGCGCCAAGGGAAGACCTCCTTGCCTTCCTGGACGGCTTTTCGGTAACTTTTGGAAGCAGATGTTCTTTCTCGTTGTAGGGGGGGCGATGTTTACCCACCCCGCCCCCTATAAGTGATGCCGCGAAGTCTTACACCCCAAGTCAAAACGATCACCCACGAAATTAAGTTTGGCAAGTAAGGCTTCCACACGGACACCAAGGGCCCACAGCTGGTTGAGCACATGTTCGCCAGCTTTGCAAACCGTGAGGCAGCGACCGAGACCGTGCGCGGGGTCCTGGAGCTTTGGGAAGCAAAAGCAGAAGTTGTTTGAAGCGAAATCCTGACTGCTAGGGCAAGCGGTAACTACAATGACAGGGTCATTGCATGAGATGCTCCAATGTGCATGTCTGTTTGTTGTCTTACAGCTCCAAACATGTCAAAGCTGACTTTTTTTGTTCTTTTAATGAGTCACATTAGTGTCATGTGTTTACATTCTAAATTCAAAGGCTGACTGTTTCGAGCATTCACAGATACCAGTTCAACAGAAGTTGTTTCCATTTTCTTGTCCATTATCCCTATACAACACCTATAAACCCCTAAACCCTAAACGCTGTGTGAAAGGAGAAGTACCTCTCCAACGAGCGGCCTTTCGCCGCCTCCATCGAGACGAAGCAGCCATACGATAAGCTTCTGCTGGACTTGATCAACCAGGGCAAAGAGTCCCTTGAAAAGGTGCCTAGCTGCTTGAAAGCCGAGACCAGGGACTGGAGAGTCAGAATTTGATTGCCTTAAGGGATCAAGATCAAAATTGGGTGGGGGCTCTACATAGACACTAGCTAGGTGCTCTTCATGGTGGCTGCCCACAACAAGCTGGCCGACCGCAGCGAAGTCGTCATGGGCGTCATCCGCGAGATGTTGGCCGCAGAAGGGTCTGGCATGTCCTGTATGTACGTCCCCGATATGCGCATGGAGGACGACATGGCTGCAGCGGTGCAGGAGACATCATGAGACATGATGGCTGCTATCACTGTTGGCATCATCACCATCATAATCATCATCCCTCTTGTCCGTGAAGCCAGTGGCTGGCAGCACTACGGCCCCCCAAAATAGACCCCCAAACGCTAAAATCCTTACTAGGTTGGTTACTAGGTACCCCCAAAGAGGTACCCTAACCCAGCATAGCATACCCTATATAAGCACCTTTAAAGGTACCCTACAACTTTGGGAAACCACTATAATGATCACACGAGACTACCCCTTAATAAACCCTATGATAGGCCCCCATATAATCCCCTTTCTAGCCCCCGCTTAAGGAGTTTAGACTATATAGCTTATACAATGATCACAGGAGAAGATCGTGGAGATTTCGCAGCTACCAAGCTCCGCCGCCGTGGCTGGCGACTACGGAAACGTGCGGCACCGTGGACGCTGTCGGGATACAATCTGTATATGGGAGAGATATGGGCTTATATGGGGATCTATTCGGAATGGTTTCTCATGTTTTTTCGTATGACCCTAAAGGAATCTAATCCCCAAACCCTATGGGTCTGGGGAGAATTACAGAAATTGAGGCCCTGCGGGATGGGTATTGTTGAAATGATGAGAAGTCATGCCAAGGCTCTTTTTGCCAAGGCTCTTCTTGTCGGCAGGGAGGGAAGTACGTGGAGGTTCAGGGTAACTTAGTAAGTAGGCTAACTAGAGGGATAGTTGGGGCTATTATGGGCTTGTAGGGGTTCTGAATGGTTATAAGTAAACTTACTTAGTACCCCTGATCCTCCAAGCAGAAGAGCCCTTCAAATATTTGCAGGTGGCCAGTTTGCAACGGTGGTCAAATTAAGCTATGCCTTTCCCCACATGAGACGATCGATTACTCTGACGCAAGTATGCCCGAGAGCCTGCATCCTCAAGCCTAAATTCCAAACCCCGAAGCCCTAAACTCAACACCCTAAACCCCTAAGCTCTCAACAGGCCCCCCCCAGTCCCAAAGCCTAACCTGCAATTCTGAGCCCTTCAAGAAGACCTCTCCAGGTATTTGGCTCAGCAGCTTCTCGACACCATGCCTCAGGAGCCCGCAGGTGATTGCGAGTTTCCGCGGTCTAGAGCCGTCTAAGGTCTAGGAATTCAGGGATCGAAAACCCTCCAAGGTCCAGGAATTTAAAGCCTTCTAAGGTCTTGTAAGGTTCAGGAATGTAGGGGTCTTCCACCCTCTAAGGTCTAGGAGCTTCGGGGTCTAAGGTCTAAGGTCTAGGAATTTGGGGGTCTAAAATCCTCTCAGGTCTAGGACTTCAGGGGTCTAAAGCCTCTAAGGTCTAGGAGTGTAGGGGGGCACAAGACCCTCTGAGGTTCAGGCATTTGGGGACTCTCTGGGGTCTAGGAATTTAAGGGTCTAAAGCACTAAGGTCTAGAACTTTTGGTTCTAAAACCTTCTAACGTCTTTCAATTTTGCTGTCCAAAGCCTTCTAAGGTTCAGGAATTTATGGGTCTACAGCCATCAACTGGTTCTTAGTAGGGAATAAGGGAGTATAATCCCTATATGAGCAAATACATTCCTTACCAATATATGACCTAAGATCAACATCATATTGTAGCATGTAAATGGAAACATAGAAACGTATGTATCTATCATAACTATTAGTCATCATTTTAATCTAGTACAAAATCATACAAGCATAGCAGACTGTAGCAGATATGTATATATGTACATACATTTAGATATATATATACACATACACACATACATACCTACCTACCTACATACATACATACATACACACACACATATAGATGTGTATATATATATATATATGCAACCCGAAAAGCAGGTTTCAAAAGAAATTTGCT